GGTGAGCATCAGTGAGTGCAATAATCAGCTTTGATGGCAGGTTCAATGGATTAAGGCCAATCAGACAATCAGAAAAGGCAATGTCCAGTTTCGTTGGTTTCGCTCCCTTGGATTCCTGAGCAGTAGATTGAGGCTGGCGAGCCAAAGCAGAGTGAGTCTGATCGCCTAGGTTGGCCACCGAGGCGGCAAGCGAATCATCAAAGTCTTGCGGCGTGGCGTCTGCTCCCAGTCCGAGAAGGTCCATGATAGTCTGTACACGGTACTCCACAGCAAGATACCGAAGCTTCAGTTTAATTGTAGGCTCAATTTCGTCGCCAATTATTCGGACCATGAAAACCGGTCCGCGGCTTGGAACATCTTGCGTGGCAGTAAACGGGCTGCACTTGACCAGCTCTTCCACCTTGTTTCTGCTGATTGAGATGGCACCAGCAGACAAGGCAACGAGTGAGGGGAGTGTGATGTGTCCGACTTCGAGGTCTGAGATTTCTCCCGTAAATGTTCCCAGCGTACCACCCACCTTCACACTACCACTGATGCGTTGGACTTTTGCAAGAGTGAGGAGACCGGGCCGGTCATCTTCGGGTAAATATTTCGCAACAGTAGAGAGCTTCGCAAGCTCCTCGGCCAAGCTGGGCAACACTGCCAGTTGGCTCATATTCTTGACTCGCACGGTGACGCCCTCTACAGACGTGCGGAGAACAGAGCCCTTTCTTCGCTGCCGCAACAGTGTATCGACCATGATCTCGTCAGTAGTGTGGTCGTACTTGACTTTGGATGGAATGATAAGCTCAAGCAGCTTCTCCAGGTCCGAGTCATTGGGCATGCTCAGGAACTCGAGGCGGATGCCACTAATGTCCGTACTGATGGCGGGGTCTGCCATGGACCCTCTCAGATAGGGGCCAGATACTCGAATCAAGCTACATGCAATGCCAATACCTTCATCCCGACTGACAATCTTGAACGCGTTGCTTTCTGACGAGACGCTGCAGTCCTTGCCAACAAGTTCGACATAGGTGCCACCGATACGAACGTTGAGCTTATTTTTGGAAGCGACGGATGTATCTTCGGGTCTGATGGGCGTATCGAAGCGGACACCTCGCGGCCTCTGCTGCGGCGTGGGCGGCCTCTTGGCGGGTGGCGTGCTTGACGTTATCGAGGTACTCATGTTGAGGAAGCTGCTTAGACCCCCAAACCAGCCAAACGTCTCATCTAGGCGCTGCAACTCCAGTCGAAATAGCAGTGGCAGAGTTTCCACTTCCGTTCGAATGCCCTCTGCCGATTCAAAGATTCTGACGGCAACATCGTTTCCGGCGGATAGAAAGGTATCTCGCACAGAGGTGCTCATTGGCTTCCCAGCATCAAACGATATAATGTCTTCCTCAGAATAACCAAAACGAAACCTCTCTAGCTCAATCTTGGTTTCATATGATGGGGCTTCCGCACTTGTCGAGGTTGAGGTCAGAGCTAAGCGCCGTGACAAGGCGAGATGCTTCAGTGTCATATTGAGTAAGACTTCTTGTCCAAAGTCAAAAGCGGAAGGATCCAGGGATCGATCGGACGTGTCCGTAACGCCACTCAAGTGGTTCAAGAAGTTGAAAGATATCTGCTCGAGGACGACACTGACTGGCGGTGGCTGGCTTCCCTTCTTTTCCTCCTTTCTAGCAGATTGGGAGACCTTCGGTGGCGTATCGCTGTTCATAGAACTTAGTAGCTTAGTAGTGATCATGTACAGCAGGAAGGCAATAGAGGTATCGAAGCTAATGGTCATCGGTGACATGAAAATTTCGATGCTATCGTCGATCGGTGGAGTCGGGGTACTTTGCTCTGCGTTTCGAGCTTGTGAGAGATGTACAGAAAAGGCCCCAGGCGTCTGAGGGTAGACGGAATGATTCATCGAGGCTGCAAGATGTGCAGTAGATTCGTCCATAGCTGTAGGTACTTTCACATGGCGCTGCAGAGAGGGTACATATACGGACAGGTTGTCGAACTCGAGAATTCTCTTGACAACTTTTGTTGGTCCCTTCGGCGTTGGTGCATCTTCTGGGGTCGTATCACCATCCGTGGTTTCTCGTTCGATTGCACGAGATTCGTCTGCAGTTACCATTGTAGACTTGTCCAGTGTAGATGCGGACAGAGTAGCAGTTGATGTGACCGGTTCAAGGGTAGCGGGTGCGGCTGGGGCCGTTTGACAAATAGAATCCTCGCCCCAAGCACCGGGAATGGATGGACCTAGAAAGGATGGTTGCATTTCTCCGGGTATATCCTCAAGTTCACCCTGGAGCGCAGTTCCATCTGCTGGTTCCGAAGAAACCGCCGCCTCCGGCTCGAGAACAGAAGTGGGCGCGCAGTCCGGCGTGGAGTCCGGCGCAGAGTCCGGCGCGGATTTGGGTTCGGTTTCGGGCTCAGGTCGCGGAGCATGAATCGTAGCTGTGCGCTCGTCTTTCTGGGTAGCACCCTCGTCGGTCTTCTCCTGCGGCTCAGGAGCTGCTTCGACGGGCTCCATCATCTCGTGCGCCACCTGTGACTGCGTAACGCCCTGTGAAAAGGCACTCATGTACATGCTCTCGGCTTCCTCGTGGCTGTAGAGCCGAGACTCTTCTAGATCCTCGAATTGTGATCCATCTGCGCTTAAAAGAGATGACTGGAGATGCGATGACTCTTGAGCAGACGTTTCGGTACTCGCTGGGCGGAAAGGGACTTCTCGCCTAAAGCGTGAGGATGAAAGCTCCGAAGGGTCTATTTGTTGCGAGTTAGCGGCAGAAAATGCAGGCTCTTCATCACTGTCGAATTGGATAGACGCTCCGAAATCGTGATATATTGAAGCACGTGGTGTAGAGGGGGTTTCGCCATCCTCGATATCCATATCGTATGGGATATCCAGGGCTTCTTCGCTGTCTTCGAGGGTTTGAACTGGCTCTTCCGTTTCGGCTGTCTCCAGCAGATGTTCTTTGAAACTTTGTTGTGAGTGAATGGACGACTGAAACATGGAACTTGGTATATCAGAAGGCTCTCTCGATGGTGGGTTTCGAGTCATGAATGGCGACGAAGTCGTAGAGGGCGATATCACCGAGGGAGACCGCGAGAGGCTTGGGAAGACGTTGGCCTCTGATATTAGAAATGCCCGGATACCGTCTATAGAGATGTGGCGTTTGCCCTCCTTGTGAATTATCTTGGGTACATGGCCAGGCACCGTGGATGGAGAAGTGACTCCCTCAATGTCGATGCCGTCGAGAGAGATTTGAAAGGCGATCTGTTCCAGGCGGTTGGATCCGAGTTCGGTCGGGGTCTCCATCTGAAGCTGGAAGTTAACACCTTTGATCTTGACCTGCATGCGATCGAGTATGCCCTGGAGAAAATCGGCAAGGAAGGCGGGCAGAGATAACGCTTGACCAGTGCCCGTCGGAGAACCGTCTTCGCTGCCATCATCGCTCATGGAGACTGATGCCCCGAGATCTTGTGTTTCAGCTTGGAGAGCCTCTTGAAGTTTTCGGCGCTCGGCAGGAGATTCTGTTTCAAGGAAAGATTGTGCGAGATCCACGGCGTTTGGTACAGGGTCGTCGTCGTTTCGTCGGGGGGTATGATCGGGAGCGCGGTCAGGAGGGAGTACGCGTAGTTGCACATCGACACCGTCCACGTCGATTGTGATGGGGCTGCTGTAAAAGTCGACGGGTATTGTAACTCGGAGGAGCAGGACCTTGGACTTTTGCAAGGTAAAGGCGGGCGGGAGGCTTAGCAGCTTCTGGAGTTTCTGCGACGAGCGTTAGTTGGCGCGAGGATAGCAACGGATTAGAGGTACACACATGCAGCTTGACACCAACATCTCGAAACTCGAATACGGTATTTTTTCCGAGGGCAAGGTCTAGGTTATCGAGGTTCAGAGCATCGGCATCCAGCAGCTCGAGACGGGACAGTGCGTAGCGCAGTAGACGCTTGGGCATGCTCGAGCTCGTAAACGACGTGAAAAGCGACGCCATGATGAATATCTGCAGCGTCGACAAGGACACGGCGGATGATTCACTTCGAAGGACAAGGCGCACCTAGCACGGGGTTTGTGGCTGCCTGGCCAGCGCAGTTGGGCCGTTATATATCACGACACGCCCGTCAAGATGCGGGGGAGCACTGTCATGGCGCGAGAGACGGGGAGGGCATGGGTGGCGATGAGTAGAAGAAGCTGGACGAGGTTTATATGGACGGTCTGTGATGAAGAAAGTTGGTTGAGCTGTGATGCAACGCAGCGCAGCCAGTGTAAGAGTTTGGTAGCCTGGGCCGGCAGGTGTCTGTCTGGATGACGAACAACCCTGATCAAGATGGAGGTAGCACAACAAAGCAAAGCTGTGGTGTGGGTGGTTTTTGGAGTGACATCTGTGTGGCTCGGCGCTGGCGGATAGCAGCCTAGAATGGGCCTGGAATGGGCCTGCTAGCCGGGGTTCAGTCTTGGGGTCACTCGGTGGCCAGCCCCGCCAAAATGCCCTGCGCTCGTGACTTGGAGAGCGTGTTCAGGGTGTTTTCAGGGCCTTGAGTGAGCCCATTGGATCCTGCTGCCTTGTGGCCACAGGCAACAATAGGCACCTTAGCCACAGGGGACCTTGTTCACATCGTCACTTGACCTCTGCCTAAATTGCTATAATGAGCAAAAAAAAAGTGATTTTCAAATTAGCACTTAATTAATGTTTAATCGAGAGGCACCTGCATCCCTCACGCCCCAACGCTGTATCACGTACCTGTCACACCCTACGTACCTACCTAGGCAGGCAAAGGAGAATGTAGTCGGAAAATCACGCCAAGGTTAGTACATAAATTGTACAAGTAATTATCCCACCCTTAGTTTACATAGTTGAAATAAGGCAAGAAAGAAACCAAACGAATAAAAACCTCGCTTATTAAAACGCTAACTACTGTATGCTATCTTCGTGCATCAACCACCATACGGACCCGCTAGGACGCTCTGCACCACAGGAGATCGTCGCGACAAGCCATCGGCTTTCTCCCTTGCAACAAGCATGGCATCCAAGTCTAGAGCACACGTCGCGATTATCGGTGCCGGTCTGTCCGGCCTACGCTGCGCCGATGTTCTTCTGCAGAATGGTTTCCAGGTGTCCATCTTTGAGGGCCGAGACCGCATCGGTGGGCGGGTGCATCAGACGCAGCTCGGCAACGGCTTTTGGGTCGACATGGGCCCCAACTGGATACACGGCACCACGGGCAACGTCATCTTGGACCTGGCCCTGCAGACGGGCACCGGTATCGATGACATTGACGACGTTTCCTGTGCGTTTGATGAAGCCGGCCACAAGCTAGACGCCGCTGAGAGCGTCAAGTACGAGACCATCATGTGGGAGATGATCGAAGAGGCGTTTGCGTACTCGGCGACGTCCGAGGCAGAAATTGACCCCAAAAAGAGCTTGATGGACTTTTTCAAACAAAAAGTGCCGCTGAAGATTCCCGATGGCGAGCCCAACGCAGAGGCCAAACGCAAGACAATATATCACCTCTGCGAAACGTGGGGTTCGTTCATTGGCTCGCCGGTGACGAGGCAGAGTCTCAGGTTTTTCTGGCTGGAAGAGTGCATTGATGATGGTACGGTGCTACGCAAAATACATGGCCAAGAGGAAATTCTAACAGGATATAGAGAATCTGTTTTGTGCTGGTACCTATCGCAAGGTCCTGCAGCACGTTGCCGGGGCCGCATTAAACAAGGCCAACATTTCCCTCCAGACAATCGTAAAGAGCATCAACTATAACAAGGACACAACAGGCAACGTTACCGTTCGTCTACAAGATGATACGAGTTATGAATTCGACGAGGTCGTCATGACCGCGCCGCTTGGTTGGCTGCAGAAGAACAAGACCGAGGCTTTTGACCCTCCGCTTCCTGCCTCACTTGCTACCGCTATTGAAGCCATCAGCTATGGCTGCCTGGAAAAGGTATTCGGGTCACTCGAGTTTGCTGTTTTCCCGCCGGCTAATTTGTTCAGGTGTACATCAGTTTCCCCGAGGCGTTCTGGAGAGCCAAGGACGGTCAGCCTGAAGTCGCCAAGGGCTTTATCCAGTGGATGTCGCCCAGTTACCATCCCGAACGCAACGCAAGCCGCTGGCCGCAAGTCGCCGTCGAGCTGTCGAGTCTCGGCCCCGAAGACGCCCACCCGACTCTGCTCTTCTACACCTATGGCGAGCAATCACAGCAGTTGACCTCGGAGCTCGCCAAACGTTCCGACAAGAAAGAAAAGATGGATTTGATCGTCGAGTACTTTCGGCCGTATTATTCTCGCCTGCCCAACTACACGGCCGACGCACCATCTTGCCAGCCGTCGGACTGCCTGGCGACGGAGTGGCTGAATGACGACCTGGCAGGAAATGGAAGCTACGGCAACTTTCAGGTTGGTTTGGAACAAGGCGATGAACATATCCGGACGATGCGCGAGGGGCTGCCGGACCAAGGTCTGTGGTTCGCAGGCGAGCATACTGCGCCGTATGTCGCGCTTGGCACGAGCACTGGCGCGTACTTGAGTGGCGAAGCTGTTGGCGAAAGAATCTTGGAGAAATACGAGCAATAATGTACTCGGCAGGCACGAAGGCTGTCACTATACATTATCTCATGGTATCACTCCTCTAAAATCAAGGATAAAGTTGGCACTTTGTTTGGCAGAAAGTTGGAGAGCGAAAATAAAGCTTGCTGACATGTCGCAGTCATCTTCGGACCTCTCTCTGCATCGGGTATTACAGCTCCACTTGGCCCGACCCGAACCCGACAAGCACGGGGCCCGATAACAAGAAGCTGATGCATCTCATTGTAACCTACACGGCGAATTATGCCATGAAAACTAAGTCGGCAAGCTTTTGTCACGGTTCTATTTAGTAGCATGCCCGAATGGCTTGCATTCTCACTGCGCGATTGCCGATACGACTAGCCCGCCAGCAGCTCGGCAACGCCGTCCGAAGTATAAAACAAGCTTCCCGCTACCACTCGCCTACATGCATCAAACTATATACTACAAGCAACATAACCACGCCGCGCCAAAGAAGAGAAGTCACCATGCCAGAGACAATGCGCGCAGTGCAAGTTCTCGGGGACAAGTCGGCGCCTCAGCTCAGCTTCGTGAGGACCGTCCCCGTGCCCTCTGCGACCAGCGACGAGGTGCTGGTCCGCATATCGGCCGCGGGCATCACCGCCGACGAAATTTCATGGCCAGAACTCTACGAGTCCAACCGTGTCCCTGGTCACGACATCGCCGGTACAGTGATTTCTGTCGGGCCCGACTACAAGGGCAGCGTCAAGTCCGGCGACGAAATATTCGCCATGATCAAGGCCGCGACCCGAGCCGGCGGCCAGGCGGATTTCGTGGCCGTGGGCGGCAACGATGTGGCGCGCAAACCCGCGCGCCTCTCCATGGGCGAGGCGGCGGCACTGCCCATCCCGGTCCTGACAGCATGGGAGGCCCTGCACGAGCACACGACGATTCAAAAGGGGGACAGAGTCCTGGTTACGGGCGCGTCGGGCGCGGTCGGTACCATGCTGGTGCAGATTGCGAGCAAGGTGCTCGGCGCCGAGGTGACGGCCCTCGCGTCTGCCAAGAGCCACGCACACCTGCAGAGTCTTGGGGCCAGCCACTGCATCGACTACCACGCCACGGGCTGGGAATCGCGCGTGGGCGCCGTCGACGCCGTCTTTGACACGGTCGGGAGCGACGTCTACCGGAAGAGCTGGCGCAGCTTGCGACAGGGTGGCACCATGGTCACCGTCGCCGATCCGCCCCCGGAATGGGCGTTTAGCGGCGGCAAGCCAGAGGAGCTGGCGGGGAATCCGGATGCCAAATTTGTGTACTTTATCGTGACCGCCAGCGGCGAGCGTCTGGGCGCGACGGCGTCGTTGTTTGACAGCGGGGTGCTGAAACCGCTGCCCGTGGTCGAGTTTGAGGCGGACGATGCGTTGCAGGCGTGGAAGTATGCCGGGCAGCGGGGGAAAGACGGAAAGGCAGTCATCAAATTTACTTGAACATGGATATATGCTTGGCTGCTATGGTATATCGGCAGAGAGATGCCACTACGACCTGCGCAGGGATATTTTATACGACGACCATGTCATCAGGGTTGGATGGTCTACTTGGTTCAAAGTACAAGCATCACACAGCATCATGTCCTCAAGGCCAAAACCTACATACCTGCCAATTATATACTCTTTCTTGCTATTTTTATTATATCCTGTTTATTGTTCAATTATTTCTCATTTTATTTATGCGCGTTCCCTGACACCAGTCAGTAGAGAGAGGTGTTCAACTACTCATCTTCCGTCACCAGCGACATGGCAGCGCTGTGGATCGCTGCTAGTCTGCCACGCCGATGCTTCCGCGCTGAGCAATACTACTAATAAGCAGCATCGCACGACAGACTCGGTCGTGCAATAAATCCTGCTTTCAGCGCAAAACAATCCCGCCGCGCACAATCAACGCCCCATCATCCCGCAAAATCCCAAGCATGGCCACCACACCCGCGTTTACGGGCAGGGCCCTGCGCATCGTGCTTGCTGACGGGGAGCCCCACGTCATTGCCGCCTTCCAAAAGGCCTTTTCCTCCTCAGACACATACCCGACCATTGTCGGCACGGCCAGCACGCGCGCGGAGCTCACCGCCGCGCTCGGCGCCCAGCGCTGCGACGCCGTGCTCCTGGACATGGGCACGTTTGGCGAGGCGTCGGTGCTGCAGGCGATCCAGGACGGCGGGCTCGGCGAGCTCGGCGAGCCGCCCGTCATCTACCTCTCGCACAGCCCGGCGTCGGACACGCTGGAGAACATTGTGCTGCGCAAGACGGCGGCCGGCGTCGTCAAAAAAGACGACAAGACGGAGCAGCTCGTCTACGCCATCGAGGCGATCCTCGAGGGCGCCCCCGACGAGACGGCGGGCGTCAACCCGAACCGGCTGACGGCGCGCGAGAGAGAGGTCCTCAGGTACCTGCTCGAGGCCATGACGACGGCGGAGATTGCGTCCGAGGTGCACCGCAGCCTGAAGACGATAGCGGCGCTCAAGCAGAGTGGCTGCGATAAGCTGGGTGTGCAGAGTATTGCTGGGCTGTTTAAGCTGAAAGATCGCATTCTTTGAGCATTGCTGGTGAGGATGTGAAGGCGCACTCGTTCTACGGAGCTGGAGCAGAGTGGTTGGATAACCAATAGCAGTCTATGTATAAGGTATTTGTATTCTCCTGAGGGGAAAGGAAGGAAAGATGCTGGTTCTCTTTACTCTGATTGTTTCCCCGTTGGGCGCTTTTTTTGGTGGGCTGCTTTGGTTAGTTGTTCTGGCCTAATTTTTACTGCATTAGATTTGGATCTGGATCTGCCACTTGGTCTTGTTCTTGTTGTGGGTTTAATGGTTAATATGGTTTGTTTGCAATGAAACTTGGCACAAAAGGGATGTATTTTTGGGATTTGGTCTTGGGGATGAATAAAGTATTTGATCTAATAATGACGTATCTATGTTGGTGGTGTGGATGCCGGCACCGGATTGTTTGAATACTTGACCTCTGGTTAAGATGCTTTGGTGCGAGAGCATAGACCAGCCGCCCTTGGATGTCGGGCCTATTGTCCAAAATTCAAGACCTATTATTCGAGATATCGCCGCCCACGGGAGGATCACGGTTGAAGACGGGATGGACGGGGAGCATAGGTATAGAGCAACGATCACCTGACGTCCAGACGTCTAACCTGCCACACTCCTAGCTATTATTATAGTTACACTAGAACATCTAGCATGAAGCATGGTTTAGTTACTTAGCAGCCTGGTCTGCGCTGTGTGGCAGTCATCTCTGCACGCAGGATCTCTGTTATAAAGTACTACGGGGTACAACTGGTGGGATCGCGGGGATCACCCGCGGTTACACACGGCCGCGCTGCCTGCCTGGCTTTCGAGGCACTTTATATTTAGTTCTATTCATTTATACGGTCGACTGCATATTATCCACGTTTCTTTAGTGTAGTAATTAAAAGCTCTGTTGCGAACTGGCTGGAAATATATCCGTAGCTAAATTAAGATATTTAACCTAAGAGGCGCTGTTTATAGTTATGGTATAGAAGGATGACCGGGAATTAAACTGTTTAGTGGATTTAGTATGTAAATTAAAGACGTAATGGCTCTCATAATGCTACTACCGCCTTCACCTTATCCTTATCCAGACAGATCGATCAACTTACGAGGCCATTCAGTGAGTGTAAAGATGGAAAGGATGGGAAGACGGGCAGCGAGTGCTTACCCATTGGCCGGCTCAGTCGATGTCGGTGTGCTGGACGTGGACGGCGTAGAGGTGGGAGTGCCAGGAACACCAACGCAGTAGTAATAGGCTGCCCACAACCCCCCGCAGTCCTTGCCCACGGCTGGATTCCACTTGATGAAATCGTCGAGAGAAAAGGTGCCGTAGCTGTCGACAATCTCGCCACAAGTATCCCCAGCTTTCGCGATGTAGAACCTCTGGCACGAAGCGATTAGGCCACTCTGCGTAGGGCTGGGAGCCGGAGAACCCGATGGCGACGAGGAAGACGTGGTAGTCGGCGTAACGCCGTCAACGACGACGCAGTAGTAGTAGCTCGCCCAAAAGCCGTTGCAGTTCTGGTCCACAGCCGGGTTCCATTGCATAAACTGGCTCAGGCTGAGGCCGTACTTGCCGGTCACGCTGGCACAGGTGTCGCCGTTGACAGCCATGTAGTAAGTCTTGCAGTCTGTCTTGATGCCATCCTGGTGAGGCGAAGGGACTTGCGGTGGTGGAGATGTAGACGTGGAAGTTGTTGTTGTCGACGATGTAGGGGGAGGAGTCGTGATGCTGCCGCCATTGTTCACCTCAATGCAGTATGAGTAGCCGACCTTGAGGCCGCTGCAATCATCCTTGACAGAGGGATTCTAACACTACAATTAGAGGGGAGACCAACAGCGTGTGCCGTGCAGAGACAACCTACCCAGGCAACAAAGTCTTTGTGTGCCAAGCCCCAGTCAGACTCAATGGAAGCACAAGTATCGCCCTTCACTGGTTCGTACCAGAAAGTGCATTGGTTAGTTGTACCCGGCGGTGCTGTCCCGCCTGGCTCACTAGCAAGCTGATGCGGAACGCGAGTCACGTTGGCTGCAGCGCCAGAAACGCAGGCCAGGGCCGCATATGTTGAGATCTTCATGGTACTAGACTGGGAGGAGTATTCCAGAGGCTATGGTTCGTCACGCCCATTCTCCCACAGAACCGTTGCTGACTTTCCACGTTTATAGGTGCCCGGACCAGGATGGGTTGTCGTGAGGCTCGCCAACGCCACCCCAGCGTGCCATTGCTAGCTGGGAAAGCTGAACAACCGTGTCGTGCCCGATCAGTGATGCATCGCCCGCTCGTACATACGCCCGCTCGTACATACGCCCGCTCGTACATACGCCTGCTCGTACATACGCCCGCTCTCTATCCCTAGTGTGGAGTTCCTCGGTTCGCGCAGCAGGCTGTGGCGCGCGCTCAATGCGCCAGCCCCCATGGAAGACGCCAACGGAGATGATATCCAAGACGGGTTCAGGTACCATGAATGAATCGTACCTTGCGTTGTGGCGAGTACAGCGCAGCGTCTCGCCTAATAGAGTCAACTAGTGGGGAATTCTCACCAACGTCGGCGTTCGGATATGGGCCGATATGGTCCAGAATGATCGGCAGTTCATCAAGTGGCGGATAGTTTGAATGCTGAGCACGATCAGGCTGCAGTGATTACTCTCGGCGCGATGGATAGGGAGGGCCGCCGTCAGTTTTGTTGGCACCCACCACCTCTGAGCCGCCTTGGTTCCATGGTTTGTGCAGGAATCGACTGGGTCACGGTGGAGAGCTGGTAAGAAATACAAAAATAGTTCCTTGGCGGACCTTGCAAGGCTGCCATGCCACCAACAAGCTTGGGACAATCTGCGGAACTGCTGTTTTAGGGAAATTTCAGCGCTTGGTGCGTGCAACGATTCATACAGTGGGTGGCAGGTATTTACATAGATTTCAGCTCGACAGTACCCTTGCCCTAGATAGGCAGCTCAAGACAGTGGGTATGCTGACTTCAGTTGGATAGGCTGTGCAATCCCATGCCGTTGCGAATTTCTCAATCCGTTCTGCAGGCACGGTAGGGCGCGGATGAATCCGGCGCATCCCTCTCATGTGCCTGGGCAATTTGTGCATGCACAAGTAAATTAGCCGTGAGTCTTATAATTTATTACCAAGCACATCTCCGTTTATCTTCTCCGTTGGCATCGATACCTGGCAGGGTCAAATACTCTCTGCCACCCACTGTATCTCACTGGTAGATAGAACCTGAATTTTGTGAAGATCATTTTTCGGACAAGAAAGAAAACTATCGGCAATTCCATGACCTGAGCAGGCGATGAATATGATCATCTAAGTAGTGGTTCGAAATTGGGGCTCCAAGCGAGGGCGAGGTGGTGGTCGTAACTAGAGCTTAGACGAGGTTTGTAAAATACATCACATCGTCTCAAGTAAAACATCACAATAGACAGTACTATGAAATAGTAATAATCAAGTTTGAAGACGTCGCGATTGAGACAATCAGAGTCCATAACGGGATGCAACAAGGGCATTACTTCACGTGACTCAACACATTCTCTTTGTCTGGTCCCGTTATCCGGTTTAGATCTCACACAACACACACAACACACACAACACTCATCAGCAAGAAAAATGTCCTCGCCGGAAATAGATACTTGGACCGGGCTGCCGCCGGAAATCAAAACGTCCATTGCCCAATATTTGGATAATAAAGATTTGAAGGCACTCCGGCTCACCAATTCCTCCTTCTCAGCCAGCGTCACGTTACGCCTGCCGAGGGTCTATTTATCGCTACATCCTCGTGATATAGCCGTCTTTAAGGCTATAGCGGATCATCCTCTCCGTCAGAAGGTCACCGAAATCGTCTACGATGATGCTCGGCTGCCTAGGCTGTTCCCCTTGAGCGCCGAGGAACAAAAACAGCGTCGCGAAAACCCCCTTTTTAACGAAGCTGAGGCGGAGGAATACGGCGAGATCAACCATCTCAATAGAGTCTTCCACGGTGAGGCCAGATGGTCAACTTGCCCCGTGGAAGAGTGGTACCGTCGAAGGCTAGAGAGGATCGCGGATGACGCGAGGGCGAGGTATAGCGACATGAGCCCTAAGCGTTATCCAGTTGTGACCGAGCGGGCGCTTAAAACGGCGGCACAACCTGATGCGAAGGTCTCTCTGGGCCTGTATCAAAAGCTTTATAAGGAGCAGGTGAAAACCGCCGAGGTGGACGCTGATATCGAGGCTCTACGCTATGGAATCGGCCGCTTCCCCGCTCTGAAGCGCATCACAATTACGCCGGCCGCTCACGGAGCTCACTACAGCCCCCGGTACCATACACCAACGATCCGTTCCCTCCCCTTTGGGCTCAACTATGTGCTCCCTCGTGGCTGGCCATACCGCAATGATAATTTTCTGCAGTATACCCCGGCATGGCCTCGTGCTCCTATGCAGAGCCTAGCAGCAGAAGAACATCGGATGCTGTGGCGAGGCGTTGTCTCTATACTCCAGATGTTGGCCCAACAGCCGCATCTGGTGCCGCCGGAGCTTGTGTTTGATGTGCACGGGTTAAACACCGGCCTCAACCCGCACATGCTCGGCCAGCCGTCCGTGGACTACGACAACCTAGCCACCGTTTTGCAGCGAGGATTACGGCGTCTGGACCTACCGATTATAATCGGAGGATTGGAGGATGAAGGTTGGGACCCTCTTATCAATGGAAACTTTCGGAGTCTCCTCGAAAAGGCTCCCGGCCTTGAACACTTTCGACTTCGCGCTGACGCTTCCGATAACGGGCCCTCATTCCCACCTCTTCAATCAATGCTTCCTGTGGAAAAGTGGAAAAACCTTAGACACTTTGGCATTTCTGAGTTCGTCGTGAATATTGACGATTTGATATCAACACTTGCGCTACTGCCTAAATCTCTACGTTCCGTGGAGTTGACCTTCCTGTACTTTGCAAATGGATCTTATAGAGCGCTATTTGATGCCATGAAAACCAGGCTTGACTGGCCTTCGTGGCCGAGCGGCCAACGACCTACGGTTACCGCCGCTCTGCCAGATTATCTCTTCAATCCCGAGTCAACATGTGGTATTTGGATTAGCGATGTGGTTAACGAGTTTTTATACGGCGATGGAGAGAATCCCATACAGTGGGGCGATAAATGGGTTCACTATGGCGTTGGAACTATGAAAGATGAGCTCGACTGTGACTGGGAATTGCCCAACTTACAATACCAAGACCTCTTCCGCCTTGGCCATTACTCGAATTAGGGTTCCCGTTAAAGAAAAAAAAAACTATTTGATGGACTGGGAAAAAGATCACTAGGGAAAGTACTGCTAATATATGAATTAAGATGATTTTATTCACATTTCACAGATACCCCCCTTAGGCTTACAGTAGCCCTTCCCTCAATACATGAGAAACACAAAGATGTCTAGGCTTCCGCCTCCACAAAATTGAGCTATCTGTCGATATAATTCTTTCACACAATCCAGGGCGTCAAGTCTGGCACTGTTCTTATTGCGCAGCTATTGAAAAAAAAGGTCAACATGAATAAGCCATCCAGCGAGTCTATTACTACCGAGAGATGTATCTACTATTACTAATGGGATGCCCCAACGCAAACGTAATTCCCAGTCTTCATGTTCTTGCAAGCAGATCCAATATCTGGGTTCCATTTGAACAAGTCCGACAGTCCGATTCCATTAGCTTTACAGAGTGATCCAAACTTGTCCCCGTCCTTGACCTGGTAAAATTTGTTACAATAGTCAATCATACCCGGCTGGGTGGGAGTCGGCGTGGCGACCGGCGCGGAAGTGGTCGTCGGGGTATCATCATCGTCATCATCGGGAGGATTACCATTTGGCAGCGTCGAGATGCAATAGTTCGTACCGATGACCAGGCTGGTGCAATCAGATCCAATAGAAGGGTTCATCTTGTAGAACTGCGCCAAATTGAGCTGGGCCATGGTCAAGACGCTGCTACACGTCTCGCCCTTTCGCACGAGGTACCATGATGTGCAGCCCGAGATTTCACCCGATGCGCGGGGAGACGGGGGGTCCGGCGTGGGCTCTCCTACTAGCCATCAGTATATATATGCGGTGCTATACCTTTGGGTATACTGTCTCGCGGTCAAGCTTACCCGTGGAAGTCGAAGTGGGAGTCGGCCGCGACAATTCAACACAGTATTGCGTGCCTCTGGGCACGGTACATACAGCAGGAGAGGGCGTGGGGTCAGTCGCACCCCCGGTTGTTGACGACTGAGCGGCTAGGTTTAAAGATGGATTCCATAGCCGAAAGTCCTATCAGTCCACATAAGTATACCAGTCTCAGAGAGATGGGGAGGGGTTCATACCTCTAGAGAGATCTCCCAAGTAAAGGCCCAACCATCGCAAGTGGAAAGAGCTGTATCGTCACTAGGATCGAGCCAGGAATATCTGTTGTTGCGTTTCTTAGTTCATCCCTTGTCTTGATTCGGCTTGGCTGACGAACCTATAGCAATCAACTCGTGTACCACTAGCCGTCGGCACTGCAGCCTGGGCGGACGGGCTAGAGCTCGATCCTGAGTTAACCCTGATAGTCGTTTTGACAGGTATAGGAGTGAATGGGGGCAGAGAACGCTGGCCGTAGCCCGGGTAGTCCTCAATGCGGCCGACGGGCTGGACGCAGTAGTAATAGCCCTGCTTGATTGCTTTGCAATCGTTACTGGCTTCGGGGTTTAGAAAGACGCTATAGTAAACTTGGTTAACTTGGGGATTTGTGAAAAAAAAAAACCAGCACCACTCACAAGTCTTTTTGGGTAATGCCCGCCTTGATTGCTATGGTACCGCAGTCTTCATCAGGACCAAGTTGGTAGAATCGGCCACAGTTGGGGTTGGTCTTGTCTCCTGTAGGAGATGGAATTGTTCTGCCATCGATTTAGTATGTAATGCAAAATTTGAGGGATTTCATCTCATATAAATAAGGTGGTCAATACTTACGCTGGGGTCGAGGCTGTTGACGAAGCACCAACAGTATTGGTGGAAATGGCGAAGCCCGTGTCCGTCGGGTTGCTTACGCAAATGCCTTGGGAAAAGCTCTCCAAGTTGCTGAATCAATTAGCATTTCAGTTAGTATCAGCATAGTGACGGGGAGTGCACTTACTCGCAAGAAGGACTCAACTTTGGGTTCCAACGCAGTAGCTGAGCATAGGTCGCGTTTGTCTTATAAAAGACAGTTTCGCAGCTGTCACCGCTTTGAACAGTGTAAAGAGTACAATTGGATGTAGAGTTTGCCACGGACGCACAATTGAAAGTCGCTGTGGACTGATTGTTGAAAACATGTTCGTTTGAAGCAGCTGCCAAGCCAAGAAGGCCAGCAGCGCTGCATACCAACGCAACAAACATGGACTGCATGGTTGCGTTGCGAGTATAATCAACGATGAACAAGTATGAACACAAGAAGTAGGTTGACTGTTTTGTTTATGCTCGGCAGCTCATCTCGTATCGGGAGGGAATGGCCAGTTTCGGGGTTTTCGGGTTGAGGCATCGGCTTATGGGGGTAGCATGCAGGCACCGCCCAAGGCTCGGCTCGGCCCCTTTACCAAAAGAGGTTATACACGGCGCCCAATATCTTAGTCTCGCGACGCAAGGCTACCACCAAAAGAGGTGATATGTGGCGCAGAAACTCCTGGTTTTTTGCCTTTTCGGGATACAATCGACGATCGCCCCTCCGAATACAGGGTTTAGCCATGAAATATGCCATTGCCGAGTCAGTGGACTAACACCACATTACACAAATGACTCTCCTAGCCTCAGCCTCGAAGGGAAGTCCTACCAGGGACTGGGGTCATTGTCGCGGCGGCCGGGGCTCGATGTGCACGGTGTAATTGCGGGCGGCCGAAGGGGGGGCCGAACTCCCGGTTTGGGGCATATCGGGAATGCCGTTAGGCTGAGAAACTGGCAGGGGTGTTTTCTTTCCTCGCATCTTGCCTGGGTGTGGATGGATGTAAGAGCAAGATATTCGGCCAGGAAGATGCAAACCCGCGAAAATATATTCAATAAGTACGTGTGCCACTGCCCTGACTGAGTCTGGTACAGTCAAGGCTGCACTTGCACCATAACCTCGTTGCCATGGCTCCCCGCAGTTTTACCCAGGTTGCCAGGCTACTTGCCCTCGCAGCTACTCAACTTTCTTTTGCCCATTCCCTTGTTAATAATAACACTCATTCACTTGCTCAAAACAATACACACCATAATGAAACCCATGCGCAGAATAGCGTGTCTAAGACGAGCGCCAGCCGCTTGGGACTCCATGGGCTGGATGCGGCTGCCGCGGACAAACCTGGTCAGGATGACCACACGTGTGGCCCCGATCGCCCTTGCAAGAACAAGGCCTGCTGTGGCAAGTCTGGCTGGTGTGGCTACAGTCCAGATTTCTGCGGCACGGGCTGTCAGTCCAACTGTGATGCCAAGGCAGAGTGTGGACAGTATGCCTCGCCTCAGGGCAAAACCTGCCCCCTCAACGTCTGTTGCTCCGAGTTTGGCTTTTGCGGTACCACCACCGAGTTTTGCGCTCCTGGTTGTCAATCCTACTGCAACCAGCCCAAGCCCCCGGGCGGCTCGGGTAACGATGTGCGAACTCGCGTAATCGGTTACTGGGAAAGTTGGAACTCACAGCATCCGTGTGGACGGATGGGCCTTGACGAGATCCCCGTCGAATTACTGACTCATCTCAACGTTGCCTTCGGATACATCAGTGAAGATTTTCGAATCACCAACATGGACGGTATTAGTGACGATCTATATCGTAACATGGGCAATGTCAAGGCTCGCAATCCCGCACTGAAAATCTCGATTGCATTAGGCGGATGGACCTTTAATGATCCTGGTCCCTGGCAAAACCGATTTTCGCAAGTTGTCGCGACCGAGAATAGCCGAGCTACATTCATTAAAAACCTTTTGGGATTCTTGTCCGAGTATGGCTATGACGGTGTCGGTAAGCTGGAACCCGTGTCGCAGAAGACCAGAACACAAGCTAACGCAAAATACAGATTTCGGTTAGTTGCCATCCCTATTGAGAAGTGCATGGCTAACAAATTCTCTAGACTGGGAGTACCCTGGGGCAGATGATCGCGGAGGAACTGATGCTGATCCTGTCAAGTACGTCGTGTTGTTGCAAGAGCTCAGGGCAGCCATCAGTGCCAGCGGACACGATTATATTGTCACTTTCACCGCTCCGTCATCATACTGGTATCTACGCCACTTCCGTGTTAAGGAGATGGAAGCCTACGTCGACTGGATCAACCTGATGAGCTACGATATCCATGGTGTTTGGGACGGTAATAATCCAATCGGAAACCATATCCTGGCCCATACAAATTTGACAGAAATTGACTTGGCGCTTGACTTGGTGAGTGTTCCCAAGGCAGTCATAATTTTCCAAGGCTAACTTACTCCATTAACAGTTTTGGCGCGTTGGGGTCGCACCGTCTAGCATTGTTCTCGGTCTTGGTTTCTACGGTCGTTCCTTCACACTCTCAGACACAAGCTGTTGGAAGCCAGGGTGCCTGTTCAGTGGGCCTGGAGCAGCCGGAGAATGCACTGCCACCGCGGGCATTTTATCTTACAGAGGTATTGCATCTTGTCCTAAATTTCATGCCTGACGTGTAAGCGCTAACATGACTGCAGAAATCCAGCAGGTTCTTCAGAAGAGCGGCGCGACTGCGTACCTAGACACTGACGCGGCTGCAAAATACGTCGTGTACGATAAAAACAGCTGGATTTCGTAGGTGAACGTCCAAGTATAGTCACTAGCTAATTCTCACTGACAAATGTAGCTTTGATGATGCCGAGACATTTGAGCTCAAGATCCAGTACGCTAATAAAATCGGGCTGGCCGGTCTGATGATATGGGCTATTGACTTGGATGATGGAGATCTGAGCGCTTTGGAAGCTGTAACAAGCGTCAAATCGGGTGTGAACCGAAAATTTGATCTGACTGCTCTTGGTAACCTATTTCCGAAAGAGCTGCTGCCTCCACCAGATGCGGATGTCAACTACGGCCTCATGACATTTGGTCGCGAGGGTCAGGACGGATACAGCAATCCTCGCGGTCATGCTTTCGGCTTCATATTGGTAGCTGGCGAGAAGCACGTTGTTTCATCCTTGCAAAACCGCGACGGCTTTCCTGAGCCTATTACTTTCTTGGACTGCCCAACAGACATCGGTTCGGCGCCGGACAACTCTACTCATACTGCCCGGGTTGTTTGTCTCAACGAAGACGTTAAAGGGTGCTTTCAACTACTCGAAGGAGGTATAGAGGGGACGGTACTCCAAATGCCAGACGAGGTGAGCAGAAACGCATTCTTCACGTATCTTGCACAGACACTAATCGTGACGCCGTCTGATAGTGCGGACGGGGCTCTTTGGGGAGGGCTATTGCAATGGAAGCGTCAAAGGGTAAGATAAATTTATTTGCTTCGGAGGTAAATTAACACGGATATAGACCAATCCATTCCCGCCTATATACTCGCCAGCAAGCAAGCAACGTCTGAAGTCTTTGATCTGCTTTTCGATTTTGACGTGATGCTCATGCGACGCGATTCGGAAAAGACCAGCATACGGATCGACGTGACCAATGCAGCAGATTACTGGGACAGCATAGACGACTCACCTGGTATCCAATCCCGAGACCTGCATGAACGATTTTTTGCACCAGAATCCCTGCAGTGGAAGCAGAGATTTGACAGCGCCAACGTTTCCTACAAGTCTGATGCCGCTATCAAGGTGAAAAAGGATATTGATATATCGTATCTCTGGCATAGTGCTAAAGAATGCACTGTGGCCTCTGGAAATGGATTTATTGAAGGACTTGCCGCCTACGTCTCCGGAGCGCTAGATATCTCATTGACGTATGGCTTCTCTGCCATTGTAAGTATATTACGATCTTGCCATTCCTCGTTAGGGGATCGAATCTTGGTGCATCTAACACTCCGCAGATTAACGGCTACGGACTTGACACAGTTCAACAAGCAGCTGGTTTCATAGGACCAGTGGGCACGGCCGATCTTTCATACGGTATCAGTGGTGTTGCCGATATCGACATTGCCCAGTCTGGCATGGGGAACCCAGCAACCAAAGTGGCGAAGAAAAATTATCTCGACACCCACAAGGCTTCCGCTCGCGCGTGGCCGTTTCTGTCTTACATAAACTTCAACCCGTATTATCGCTTGGCTTACACCATGGCAACTTATAACTCCACAGATCGAGAGTATCCCAGCCCGACAACCTTTGATGGTTCTGTGCGCTCCCGAATGGTTACCAACTATGGCGATGTTACCACATATTTTCCTCCACTCAATGATACCGTTGAAGTGTCTCCCAAAAATCTCAGCGAAATCTCCGTCTCCGACAAGAACATCCTTTATAGTTCTCCCGAACATGGCGGAGTAGTCGTCCTGCAAACAATCCTCGAATTTGGAGTTGACATTTACATAGAGCGACTGAACACAGCAAAGTCGCCACCAACTAAGCTGATGGGAATTAGTGGCACGGCAAGTTGCTACTTGGCCTGTTTTGGCGAAGACTAACAACGTCAATCAGATGAGCGCGGGCCATACTGCTTCGGCATCGTATCGATACTATCCTGGAGATCTTGCGCATTACAACAAATCGTGTATCGATTATAGCTGGAGGTGAGCAAAAGGACTTTATAAATCACTTGTCATAAGATGCCTACTGACAAAAGCCAGCGATAACTTTTGGCAGACAACTGATGACTCGTACGTCTCGCTGAAATTGTCAACAAATGCGACGGGGTAGAGCTTACTATACAAACAGTGAGAAACTCGGATGGAGCAGCTCCTCAGTGTTCGAATTGTACCACCATGAGGTACGCCCCAATTCGGTTCGCTCTGGCTAGAATGGCTTTGATGCTAATATGGGCCTCTTAGAAAACTCCGGAAGATGCCGAAGTTTGCTATGCTGAGCCTGATGGCGGTAAGGAGGGTTATATGCCAGGCTGGGGCTATGGTTCCGGTTCAAACATTGATCCCACAACATTTGTCGGCGCGGACAACCAGGGTTCGGTACCCCTACCAGACGTGTTTCTTGACAGTCAGATAAACTGCGACAAGTGCGTTTCCTGCAATTCTGCAGATGGTCTTACCAAAAAGAGGAAGCGGAAAGAATGCTGTGGTTGCGTGAACCTGGATATCAAATTTGGCTACAACGATATTGGAAAATGCTTCGACTGCCAAAACGACGACGAATTTTACCCCGGGGACGGCAGTGCTCTTGCTTCCAGAAAGAGCGGCAAGGCAACACTAAGTTCCAAACACGTTAACGTCTGCAACAAGGGACGAATCACTCTCAACTCACCTTATAGATATCCCGCTTTCCCCGCAACGTGTACGTATCCGTGGGACCATATCGAAAACAACAAATGGGACAGCATTGCGAGGTACTGGGGCAATTCGTCGATGTCCTGCGACAATTGGTCAACGACGGCTTTGCAAGACGCAGATGAGCGCGATATTGGAGGCAAAATGTGTCGCGCCAAATACAACAGTAGGTTTTTTCAGGGCAAACTGAACAGATAAAACCCAACAGAAGAGCGGAGAGCTAAGGTATACATCTCTAGCGGAGCACGTTTTCGAGGCACAGCTCATCAGCGACTTTTTCACGCTGTGGTTAGACAAAGGGACCATCACCAAACCGATGCCAGCAATCCAGGGTCCCGTACAAGGGCTATCATGCAACCATACCGGAACCTACATAGCTATACCGTACTCAGGGGCTCCATGGCAAATCAATAACAGCAGCGGCGAGAGAGTACCTGCGAGTTTCACGCAGTTACTTCACTCTGAGCTTGGGAACGAATCCCACTTGGACAGATTGACAGTTTTCCTGGCCAGACCGAACAGAATGAAAGGAGCAGTGAGTACTTTCCGTTCTTTGGCCCCTCCCTTATTCCATTTTATTATACTGGGCTCTCTGTTCCTACCCGATCCACAGTCCCTCGGTTCTGCGTATCCGTGGTGGAGTGCTGATGCCTATTTACCAGATGTTTTCCGGAAGCAGAGCAGTGGCCAAGGATAAGTACATCGGAATGGATGTCCAGGAGCAGCTGCTGGCTATAAAGGACATGGGTAAGTAGCCTTGGACCCGTCCTCTTCTACAAACTCAGAGACCTGACTTTCCAGGCATGGTTTTTACGTACATGAATGACCCCAAGGTTTGGGACGCTTTCTGCAAAACCTACGAAGCCATGTACAAGCATATGGAGAACTACAACGACTGGTGGGTGAATACTCAGGAGAGCACCCACGGCAAGATCCCAAAACTCCAAGACATGTTCAAGGAGTATATGCGGGTGACACTCCGGTCCTTCTCCAACCGTGCACAGGATGAATTTGCCTGGGCCTACAGCCAGAGAGCGTAAGTAATTGCACCGTGTTTGCTCCTTATTATTCTCAGGAGTGTATGGACTTGGCTGACAATCTTCTTAAACGAATAGGGCTGACGCCGGTAAGAAGCCTTTCAGCGCCTACTGGGCTACCAACAACTCGATAAACAAAAAGTTGTTGAAGTTGGTAGGTACCTGCCCGAACCTGTGAGGCGCCGCTGGCAATCATTCTTTGCGCTCAAGCCTGGAAAGCCGCCGACCGCGCGCAAGATCTAGGCTTATTTCTCAGTGTATACTTTTGCTACGGCTCCCGCTGTCATAGCTGCCTCCGGACCAAGCGTCTAGATAAATTAGTTACTATTAAATTCCTAGTCGGCATCCTCGCTGCTTCAGTAGTGCAACTCAGACATACGGAATACGCCAGCTTCTCTCTGCTTGCCATATTGGGGGACAAAGTAATATGTGTATAATAAGGGCAATATTACTTAAGGGATGCTACCCTTAGCTAAACTTACCAAGGTACCCTTAGGTAAGGTGTATCTATATTCGAAATAGCCGTGTAAAGGCCGGCGGAAAGTTGGCACATGCTCGACACTTGCCCCGGATTTTAACCAACCAATCAGCAGCAGTGAATGTCAGCCAGCCATAAAACAGCCCGAACATCGTCACCTTGCCGAGGCAATTGGTGGGTCTCGACACTCAATCGGCTGGCAACGATGCGCCGGCTGTTTGGGTTGCATTTTCTCCCGAAAAGCGCTTGTCTGCCAACTCTATTTTTTCCCTCCCATCCTCCCGTCAACACATCCGGCCTTGCTTCTCGTCCATCCTCACAAGAAGCACTCTCTCGCCAGTCCCTTCTCCCGTTCCTTGTCCCGCCCGTCACCTCCCAACCACACAGCAATGGCCCCCCCAGCCGAGACCTTTTCCCGCGAGGACGTGCGTGAGCACACCTCCGAGGACTCCCTCTGGTGCATCATCGACAGCATCGTCTATGACCTGACCGACTTCGCCATGGCGCACCCCGGCGGCGAGGCCGTCCTGCTGCAAGTCGCCGGCCAGGACGCCACCACGAGCTTTTACAACCTGCACCGCCAGGAAGTCCTCCAAAAGTACAGCGACCTCGCCATCGGCACTGTCAAGGGCGAGACGCCCCAGGTCGTCGTCCCCCAGCCCGGCGACCTATCCCCGATCCCCTACGCCGAGCCCCTCTGGCTCACGCCCGCCTTCCACACGCCCTACTACAACGACTCCCACCGCGCCCTGCAGAAGGCCGCCCGCGTCTTCGTCGACGAGCACCTCATCCCCGAGGCCCAGGAGTGCGAGACCACCGGCCGCTACATCTCCCAGGCCATGATTGACCGCATGGCCCGCGAGGGCATCCTGCACATGCGTCTCGGTCCCGGCAAGCACATGCACGGCGTCAGCCTCTTTGGCGGCGTCATGCAGGGCGACAAGTTTGACTACTTCCACGACCTCATCATCGGCCAGGAGTTCTCCCGCACCATGCAGCGCGGCTTCCAGGACGGCAACATGGCCGGCATGACCATTGGTCTCACCTGCGTCCTCAACTTTGCCCACGACGAGGCCTGGAAGAAGAAGATCGCCGACGAGGTCTTTAGCGGCAAGAAGAAGCTCTGTCTCGCCATCACCGAGGCCTTTGCCGGCTCCGATGTCGCTGGCCTGCGCACGACGGCCGAGAAGACGCCCGACGGCAAGCACTACATTGTCAACGGCACCAAGAAGTGGATCACCAACGGCTGCTGGAGTGACTATTTTGTCACAGGTGTGCGAACCGGCAAGCACCTCTCCGTGTTGCTGATTCCCCGTGGTGAGGGCGTCGAGACCAAGCCCATCAAGACGTCGTACTCGCCCGCCGCCGGAACCGCCTACGTAACCTTTGACAATGTCAAGGTGCCCGTCGAGAACCTGCTTGGCGAGGAAAACAAGGGCATTCATGTCATTCTGTCCAACTTTAACCACGAGCGCTGGATGATGTGCACGGCCACTGTCCGCTCCATCCGCACCATTGTTGAGGAATGCCTCAAGTGGTCCAACCAGCGCCTCGTCTTTGGCCAGCGCCTGATTGACCAGGCCGTTATTCGTCACCGGTAAGTTCTTCTTCGGGACATGGAATAGAACCATCAGAATAGATAAAGTCCTTTGTACTGACCGTCAACAAGCCTCGCCAAAATGATTGCCCTTGTCGAGTCTCACCAGGCCTGGCTCGAGAGCATCACCTATCAAATGTGCCACATGCCTTACAAGCAGCAGGCCCAGCACCTCGCCGGACCCATTGGCCTGCTCAAGATGAGCTGCACCCGCGCCGCCCACGAGGTCGCCGACGAGTCCGTCCAGATTTGGGGTGGCCGCGGCCTCACCCAGACTGGCATGGGCAAGCACATTGAAATCTTCAACCGCACCTACAAGTTTGACTCGATTCTCGGCGGCTCCGAGGAGATTCTCGGCGATTTGGGCGTCCGCCAGGCCATGCGCAACTTTCCCAAGTCCATGTTGTAAAGACGACACACACAAAAAAAGTAAAAAGGCGCATTGCAGCTTCTCGACAATGTCTCATTATTATATGTACTTATTTATTCATCATGCACGTCTGGGATAGAAATGGAAAACAATCATACATACCGCTCGAACATCTTCACATCACACCCTCTTTTTTTTTTTTCCAAATCGCGTATTCATCTGCCCTAGTATGAGCTAGCTACCAACGTCCATTGTTGTCGTCCCAGCGTTCATGGTCGCGTGCCAGCGTCCATTGTCGTGTGCCAAACTTTTAAATTCGTAACACCCCAGTGAAAGAACAAAAAAATGCCCAAGAGATGCGTTCGTCCAGTTGCCGGCGAGGCCATCAATCTTTGTTCCGGAAACCCCCATACGTTCGTTCCAGTACCGCACAATGCGGAGCTTTTCGTCAATCATGCAACCGTGAGTTGCAAAGCGAAGATGTAACAAATGAAACATGTAAAATAAACAGCCAAGAAATAATCGTGGGTATCATAGAGCTGCCACGCCAACTTCAAGCTCGGGTGAGCCGAGTGTTGCTTTGCCGCATGATTTAGTTGTTGGGGCAAGCAGCCTGGACGTGGCCGGACTGCTGGCACTTGTAGCAAATCTTTTCGCCACCGGTGGACTCCTTGGGGCAGTCGCGCGAGTAGTGACCAGACTCGCCGCAGTTGTAGCACCGCATGCCGTTGACGCACTCGCCTGGGCAGTGTTAGTTAAAAGGGTACAGTGATTGGAAAAGGTTTCCCTACGAGACATGTGGCCGTAGCCGCCGCAGGAGTAGCAGGTCTTGCCGGCACCGCCGTCGTATCCTCCAGGGCCGCCCTGGCCACCTTGGCCACCTTGGCCGCCTCGGTAGTTGCCGCCACCATACGAAGAAGCTTTGGTGCAATGACGAGCAATGTGGCCCATATCACCGCACTGAGAATGTTAATGCGAGTCCAGGAATGAGGGCTAAATGCCTACCTTGTAGCACTCGGTAGACTGGCCGTTGCCTCCGGCAGTGGGGCACTCGCGAGAAAGGTGACCGGGCTGGCCGCACTTGTAGCACGACTTGTTCTCCTTCATAGGCTCGGAGCACTCACGGCCTGGTCGTTGTTAGCAGTGTTTCTACCCTCCAAGGGTGGCAAACAAACTCAAGTGGCCCTCGTTGCCGCAGTTGTAGCTGTGTCACGATTAGCAGGTGGCAACGGCAGGACATAGTTTGGCGGCCATACCACTTAGCAGGGCCTTTGGAGGGGCAGTCGCGAGCCTAGCGTTTGTGAGTGAGTGTTGCGCGGAGAGGACATTTTGTTGTGACAAATACCTGATGACCGCTGTTGCCGCCTGAGATTTTGTTAGCTGCTGAGGAAAAGAAGGAACAAATCGAGGCACAAGCAGCAAGTTTTCAGGCGCAAGGCCACAAGCCCCGGACAAGTGCCACCATGAAAAAGATGCGCTGCCATAAATGGTACGATAACGCAAAGGTCAAGCGCAGTTCGGTGCTGTGGGATTGGACGCTGAGGTTTGGGGCAAGAAGAAGATGTACTCACATGAGTAGCAGGCGCCGCGGCTGGGAGCGGCAGCAGAGTCGGAAGGAGTGAATTCCATTTCGATGTTTTTTGAAGTGTGCAAATTGAAGCTAGAGATGATCGAGTCAGTACCTTGCAGTCAGAAAGCAGATGATGCAGTGGTCAAAAGTGTGCTTGGCTGAGATGGAGCCTGGGGATGCAACTTTGGAGTGCAAGTGGCAATTGAAAAGGGTTGCAACGTCCAGCAATGGCCCGGAGAAACATACATTATGCAAGCTTAATCGCAATTTGGCGTTGAATGCAAGGGAAAGGGAATTGAGCTCAAAATGTGGTGATGCACAAGCTAGAAAAGCTGCAGTAGCTATCGCGAAAAGTTTTTGGGCCAAGTGCTGCTCAGCTCAGCAATTTTTGTTTTTTTACTGGGTTAGGCGGGCCGTTCACTGCCCACACTAGCAAGCAAACGGTGGATTCACGCCTGCATTGGCTGACGGAGGGTATTTTCCAAAATCGGTATTGAGCGTGGGGAAAGCCGATACTACATATTATGTAGTTGCCACGATGTCACCCCTAAATATAGACTATTTCAAAGCATGAGGCATGGGATCTCCCACGAACTGCATTCGCCTGAACATATCCGCGGCTCTTCTCCTCAATTTCCACGTTACCCGTTTGCACCGTGCCCCCCGCACGTTGCTGCCAGCTGCCAGTTACCAGTTGCGTCACTATGTACGAATACATCAGCCGGAGCGATCGTTCCAGATGATGTGGCTGAGGAGCGGTGTGCCTGACAGAATGCACAGCCAGGAGGCTGGCAGCAAGTATACTCTGAAAATGTCAAAAATAATTGTCAAAGGGGCGGAATAACTCAGCGCAGTTCCACTGCAACTTTCTGGCTTGAATATATGTTTATCCCATCTATACAGCTCCGAAAATCTGATGCAGGGTGCCTTCCGTGAGGTGCCATCACGTGTAGTGGCGCCGTCGTCGCTGCCACATCGCGTGTGGCTAACGCGTCTTCCACCCTTGGCACACGCGCTATGGAGTTGTAGAGTTCAACGTTCCAACTTCACTCGAGGCAGAAAATGGCGAGTTGGTTCGACAAGGGGCGCCCTGCGCTTCGAGAAGCCCTGGAAAACATCTTCAATCAAATAGACGCGGATATAGCGGCTGGTACATTTTCAGACTGCCCCTCCATCCACCTATCACACTAACGGTTCCCAGACTTGAAGGACGATGACAACGCCCGGGAACTCGCAGAGTGTAAAGCCCTTCTACACCAAAATACCACGAAGAATGCCCGGCTACAAGATCAAATCGAGGCTCTTCAAGTTCAGCTTGACAGACAATATCGTCGCCGCACCATCAGTGCGCTCGAGCCTCTTGCTTCGCCTAGCTCTACCATGCCAAACGGGGGGCTCGAATCATCTGACCCGGAAGTGGCACAAAGGATTGAATTTACTAAGCTTGCACAACGATTCCGGTTGCTCAATGAAAACTTTCGCAAAGCCCGCGGAGCTCTCGAGCGACGAAAAAACGAGCGGGACACGTGGAAAAGGCGCTTCGAGACGCTGCAGGCGCATGTTCAGGCTTACGAATCCGAGCATGGTGTGGAGATTTCGAGTCGGGCATCGGATGCATTGGCTGCCCTACAAACGGTCGCTACGTCGTTCGGTAGCAGCTTCTCAAGCACCGCTGATGCGAATGACGGAGCACTGGAGCCTGGCGAACCACAACTACCGCCCATAATAGCTCCCGCGTCATCGGCCTCGAGTCGCGCCGCTGGCACGGTTCTGGGACCTCTTGACTCAACGCAGGGCGAATCTGAAGGAAACGATCTTCCATCTCTTGCAACCACTGCCGAAGCGATATCTGATCCGCCTGTTAAGAGAGAGTTGTCGTCTGATGGCCCTGTTGTAATCCTAGAACGACCCGTCAAGAAGCACAGGAGTAACGAGCGCATCACGGAGACGAGGCAGCTTGTGCGGGTCAAGACAGAATTAGAACAAGATTCGAGTCCAATTATTGACGAAACACGAATGCCTACGTCACAGGAAAGCCTCGACCTCGAGCACATAACCCACATAACGACACCTCGCAAGCCAAGAGAGGTAGAATCGACTCCTAGGCTGCCATCCATCTCTAAAATCCCGGGAGCGAATACGAACGAAAATGCGACACCAGCAGCGAGATACGTACGGCATGACATGCTGGTACCACAAACTGCGAGAGCCAGCATCTTGTCGTCTGCGCTCACACCCATCAGTATTAATAAAAGAAGGATTCGCTCTGGAGGAGATAGGCCCGCTAAGCTGTCGCGGAAACGAGAACTTGACGAGGGTCTAGCAGAAATTGCGGATGATGGTACCTCGTTCAGGGATGGGCAAGAGAACACGCCTTTCACAAATGTCCAGAAGCGCAACCAGACACCGACGAACCGTCTAGAACAACTTCTGTACCAAGGAGAGGCCAACGATAGCCCAGCACTTTCCAGGCCATCTCGGCAAGCCCGCAAACGCCCGCCCCCATCGACGGCCGAACTGAATATCCCCGAGCGTCGAGAGCTGCCTTTTGAGAAGCAAGGACGCCAGAGCAGGCCAGTACCCCAACCCGGGGCCGCTGCACAAGTCACACCGCGCTCGCCACAACGCCTGGCTGGACAAGGCCAAATTCGCCTCAAGCCGCCTCGAGAGCTGCGTCTGGATGATTTTCGAGTTAATCCTGCCGCTAACGAGGGCCATGAATTTGCATACTCAGATGTGGTCAGACACAAGGACGACAGAGCTTGCCTGCCAGGATGCACCGAGATACATTGTTGTGGCAAGCAGTTCCGCGCCTTGGCTATCTCACAACGCCCTGATCCACCACTTACGGCAGCACAACGGCTGGAAGAACAAAAGTTATTGGAGCAGCATCTCGGCGACTTTGCGTATCGTTTGGCAACGATGGATCCGGCAGAGCGGGCCGAAGCATGGATACAAGCCAAGACACAGGAAATCGCGAATAAGTACGGGAAACACCGGCACCGATACTCGCGCATGCAATCCCCGCCGGGATTCTGGAACGCAGATTTCCCCAGCACGCAGGAACTGGAGATGGGCCGAGAGGAGGCGGCGGAACGGGAGAAGCGGGTCATTCGGGAGCGGTATAGAGAGGCAATGAAGCCTGGGGGTCGATGGTTGTTTAAAGACGAATAGAATTAAGCCTCTGTGTAGACGGCATCCATGTATTACTTTTACTTTTCTTCTCCAGTTTGGAACCATTGGCGGCATTAGAGACATGCATGCTTCAGGGTTTGAAGCTTGGCGTTACAGATTGAGGTGGAAATCTCAGTGTTACTTTGTATTACACTGTTTCTTCCTTGAAAAATATTCAAAGAATGCTCGTGGTAGTAAATGTTGCCTACGTGCATGGCATGACTTCAAGTTGAAATCTGCAGGAGAGTACCCGATGTCACGCCAACGCCCTGGACAAGCCAGATATTGTGGTAGGCAATGAAAACTCAGCTCGTCCAATATTCTGGGTTTATTAAGTGCTGCTTATGAATTTTATTTTCTATTTCGCTTTTCTACACTGACCAAGAGATACGTCGGACACAGCCGCGTCAAGCTCACACAAGGTTGCCTTAACACTAAAGCTCAAAGGCTTTACAGACTTGATATTTTTTATATAAGATTTATTAAATCTATTTTTATTACATGACTAACTAACCATTCATAATTATATTATAAGAAGTGAGTCTGTTGTTATAGACTTTTCATGTGTACAAGTTTTGGTGTAGAAGTGGCCGTTCTTTTTGTGGGGTATTGGAGGTCGGGCCCACAAAGGTTTTGGCTGGCGCCAGCCCAGGCGCATCTTTGTAAACCTTCCGGTTCTTCATCCAGCTAATTTGATCTTTTTCTCTTTGCTCGCACTCTTTCTAGCCCCCAATCCAGCAACCGCAAGGTTTGCGTCTCTTAATTTGCTTTTCCGTGCCCTTTCTTTTTGCTTTTCACTGTATTCTGTGTCCCTTTATTATTCCCGTCACCTATATAGTCCGCCTGCGCCCTTGCCTGCCTGCCCGTGTCACCAACGAAGCAATCGCATCAAGCTGAATCACATCAGATCTGCAGTCTAGCACTTGGCAAGTCATCAACAAAGCTATCATTTCTTGATAATCGCGGCACGTTTGCTCTTCAGCACCGCGCACCGTCCCCCGACGCTCCAAACACACAGCAGATACGCGTGAGTCACCCCTTGGGCGGCTCCCGCATCACCGACCTTCTCGCCGGCAAGATGAGTAACCGCCACCATCTGCCGGCTGGGCAGAGCGTGCATGCCCCCAGTGGCATGCCCGTGGAGATGAGCGGGCCTGGCCCGGCAGGAGGAGGAGGCCCAAGACGACGACACCAGCATCAGCAGTACATGCCGCAGTATCATCACCAGATGAACCCCATGTACCAAAATTATGGCCACCAGCACAATCCCTACGCGCCTCCCCAACAATATTACAGCATCCCGCCGCAATTTCAAAATGGAGGTATGCCCTCGCCGGGATACCCGCCCTACCAAGGATACTCCCGCTCGCCGCCTGCTATGCCACAATACGTGCCCATGGCCGGCGTCAGCGTTACTCCAAACTACCCTCCCCATGCTCAGAACTCACCCAGCTTGTCGACTCCTTACCAACCGCCTCATTCGACTGTTCCCCTGACTCCGCATACGCCCTCCTCGACACACTCTTCTCAAATTCAGCCGCCACCCACACCACCGACACCCAAAACGCACGAGATCACAACCCCGCCTCCTACAGTCCAGCCCGCTGTCGAGCACCCTACACCTCCCTCACCACCGCCTGTTGCTGACAAGGCGTCATTCCGTCCTCCTCTGCCTTGGCTGTCATGCGCCGCAGCCGATTTTCCCGCGAGAACTACGCGTACCCGCAAGTCGCGCCAGCAGATCGACAAAACCACCGGGACTGTTTTGCTCCCCAAGGGTCAACAAGATGCTGCTACGGCTTCTCTCTCCGTTGAACAGCCTCTGTCTGCAACTCCCGAGACTACCGAGCAAGCACAGGCTGTGGATATTAAAGCTGAGACACCAACCACGCATGCTCCCTCACCTGAGCTGCCAGCGGCCGAGCCCAGCAAACCAGTTCCGGCTGTGCGCGCGCCTCCGGCTACCTGGGCCAAACTCTTTGCCAAGACCCCTGTTGCGGCTGTTGTCACTCTCAATGGAGATAACACTACTTCTAATGAGACCAACGGCGCGACTCATGATGGAAGCACCGATATCATTTCCTCTGTTCTCAAGGCCAACTCTAACTCTGTCGCGGAAGCCATTCGTTCGTACAGAGTCGGCGGAGCTGAGAAAAAGACCGTCTTCCTAGAACCTCGCGGCCTCATTAATACCGGCAACATGTGCTACATGAATTCGGTCCTTCAAGTCCTCATGTATTGCTCCCCGTTTTACGACTTCCTCGACCAGATTAGCAAGCGTGCTGTTTACAGCTTCAACAGCGAGACGCCGCTGTTGGATGCCATGATCATGTTTATGCATGAATACAAAGTGCTCAAATCGGCACCGAACAATGAGCAGCTGCGTAAGCTCATCCGCGGCGAGGAGATTGAGCGTTACGGAGAGCCATTTACCCCTGACTTCGTGTATGAGGCTATAAGGCAGCTCTCGCGGTTCGCTAGCATGCGTCGGGGTCACCAGCAGGATGCCGAGGAATTTCTTGGCTTCCTGCTCCAGTCGCTCGACGATGAATGCACCCTTGTCATGAGCAACGCCTCCCAAACCGCCAGCCAAACCGACAGCTCCGACGCGGCTTCGGTGGGTGGATCCGTCGACGCGACTGGCGACTGGCTCGAGGTTGGCCGTAAGCAACGCCCGGCTGTCACCCGTTCTTCGGGCTCCAACGCATCTACCCCTGTTACTAAGATCTTTGGCGGTCTTTTGCGCTCCGAGTTCCGCGTTCCCGGCTTGAAGGACTCCATCACCACGGAACCCTACCAACCCCTTCAGCTTGACATCGGCGCACCTGAGATTAGAAACGTTGTGGATGCCCTCCGTGGTCTCACTCGCCCTGAACGTATGCAGGGTGACTTCAACTCGCCTCGCGGCAAGGACATCACTGCGACTAAGCAGGTCTTCATCGAAACCTTACCTCCTGTTCTCATTTTGCACCTCAAGCGCTTCCAGTTTGATGCTGAAGGCGGCACGACTAAAATTTGGAAGAAAGTCGGATACCCTCTCGACCTGGAGATCCCCCGCGAAGCTCTCTCTCGCCAGGCACGTCAAAGCATGGCTGATGGCGCTTCGCCGAGATACAAGCTCATTAGTGTCATTTACCATCATGGCAAGAACGCCAGCGGCGGTCACTACACCGCCGATGTTCGTCGCCAGGATGGATGCGAATGGATGCGCCTCGATGATACGGTTTTGCGCCGTCTCCGTAGCGAGGAAGTTGCACAAGCCGGTTCAGAGGAGCAGATCAAGGATGCCCGCAAGGACAACAGCCAAGCCGGCACCAACAACCGCTTCGGTGTCATGCATGACGAAGACGAGGGCAGCGAGCAGGGCTGGAACCAGGTGACTGCTTCTACGGGGAGCGGTGGAAAGCGATGGAGCAACGTCGTCAATAGCGCTGTCAATGGGGCCAGCAAAGACAAGTACAGGAAGGAAAGTGTCAGAGACAACAAGGTGGCATACATCTTGTTCTACCAGCGTGTCTAAATATGATACAGCCGATACTTGGCTGTACGGGGATTTTTTTCCCATGTTCTTGTACTTTTAACGAAACGGGGAACTTTGGTGTACAGAGAAGGACAAGCGGCGCTGGGATTGAATGTACATATACCCCTGTGTACGACTACATGCTGCGGTGCCCGGTATCTCGGCGAAGAAAAGGAAGAAGGAACAGGCACAAGTGGAAAAGCAATGGCATAGGAAATCAAAGGACGGAGATGATAGGGTGGACAAGGTTGATTGAAATGATGGATGAGCCGGGACCGTGGTCAGCATTTTGGGGGGAGACGAGACGGTGGGAAGGGGAATACTATGCACGTGTTGATTTGATAGGGTACATGATGGGCATAGCATAGAGAAAAATAGAGTTGCTACGTATGTATAGTGTTTTGTGGTTGCTCTATTGCAAGGTGGCTGGCCCTTGAAGGCAGGTGTTTAGCATGGGATGGAATAGCAGGTTATACGCAGATATGAATGCCAATACAATAATCACGTCCGGGAAAAAAAAACCGAGAAATGCGGTGCTGAAGAATCAATCTGCCAAAGATGTAATGGAATAAAAGAAAATTGACTTCTTTTTCAATAGACTGAGAAAGAAGGCGCGGTCCTGTGCCCAAAACCTAGCTGTCTATACATAGGATACACAGGTCCGAAAGCAGACAGAGCCCAGAACTACATAATTCCATGTTCTGCTCTCGCTTCACGGACCTTGGATTTCTTTTGGTTTCCCTCCACTCATGCGCTCTTTATATAAACAAGGGTTTGTCTCCACGTACCCAGCGTTCGGGGGGTCTTGCGAAATCGTTTAGTGCTTCTTGATGACGGTCATGGAGTCGAGGGCGTCCTTCTCGGCGAGCTCAGCCTCGACCTGGGCAATAATTGTGCGGAGATACGGGGTGTCCTGTTTGATGGCTAGTCAGTTCTCCCTGCTACTTGTGATTTCGAGGGGGGGATATCGGTTACCTCGTCAGGCTTGGTCCAGTCCTCCTTGGGGAGCAGCTTGTGCTGGTAGCTGCACTGGGTGGCGCGGCGGAGACGGTAGATGCGGTCGTAGGACTCCTGGTCGGAAAGGCGCTTGATGGCGATTTGGACGGCCTCGCGCTCCTCTTCAAGGAGGTCGTCGAATCTATTTGCGATGTTGAGTTAGTATGCGACTCTTGTGCACTTCCAGCCGAGTGAACGAGTGCCTCTGGCCCGTCGAGAAACGCGAGTTGGATGATTGGATTGCTCTATTCGGCGGCGAATGATGAAATAAAGTCGTCAAGAGTGCCATTGGATGGTTTGGAGGTCAGATGTATCTTCACAACGCCGAGCTGACTCTTTGTAGCACGGGGTGGCGTATCATAATCGGGTGTCGCGAAAGTATGCATTTCCCTTGCAATTGAGCAATTGGCCACTACAATGAAGCATTCTGTCGGACGTTTCGATCCATTTCCAGCCATGCGTGGCGCTCGTCGGCATCGCGAATTCGTCGTTCCTCGGCAGCCCCGGGGGGTTCTCGTCACCAGAAAAAGGGAATTCGTACCTCAGGCCGAGCTTGCGGTAGCCGGCGGCATTGGCGTACCAGGTGGCAGCGGGCATCAACATTTTCGTGAGCCATGGGCGGCGCAGGACAAAGGGGGCGAGGGAGACCATGATTGCTGTTCGTTGGACCGGGGAGACTTGTCGTGGGGTTGGTGGTGAGAAGGGATCAAGACGGGTTCGGCTGTTTTTGCCAAATGGCGCGCAGAGAAAACGAATGGGTCATCATCTGCAGCGCCATGATTGGCTCAGGCGGCTTGTGGTGCTGGGAAAGCTCGGGATGTCACGTGAGGAGCTGGTGTGAATAGTTTCACGTGACTTCATTGTCATTCGTACCGTGTCTTGATACTGTATGGCAACATGACTGATGATGTGTTGGTAGAATTTTGTCTCGGAATTCTTTATTTGACCGGTGCATTCTGGGCTTGATTCCATCTGCCGTGATTCCTCATCCTATGGCGGGCGGTGCGGAGGAACGGCGTTTTCGCTGTTGAACACTCCGCTGCCGAAGTGGTCAAGCGTGTATTCTTTAGCTTCAAGGGTAATCATGATTTAAATCTGACCGGCGCCAGATGGCCTTCGAGTCGGCTTCTCTGTGTTGTTCGAGACTCAATTCAGTCAACTTTACTTGCTCTTCCTCACTCAAGCTCCTCTCATCAAACACAGGACCCCCCGCACAGGATCGCCACGGATCGCTACAACGAATTAGTATTACATCATGGCTACTCTCTCGCAAATCGCAACCGGCCTCGTCGCCGCCGAGCATGTCTACATTCTCGTGCTGGAAATGTTTCTCTGGACGACGCCGCGTGGTCTCAAAGCATTCAAGCTCACCAAGGACATGGCGGAAAAGACAAAGGTCCTGGCTGCCAACCAAGGCCTCTACAACGGCTTCCTGGCGGCGGGCCTGGCCTGGAGCCTGCTGCACCCGGTTCCCGAGTTTGCGCAAGAACTGCGACTGTTCTTCCTCTCCAACGTGGTCGTGGCCGGAGCGTACGGCGGCGCGACGGGGCCGAAGAAGATCTGGAAGGTGCAAATGCTACCGGGCCTGGTGTCTTTTGCGCTGACGTACTTTGCGCTTTGAGGGATGCTTATGAAGCTTTTGTTGGTTGACTGGTTGACTGGTTGAGAAATTCGTTGTTGTTGAGATGTTGTTTTTTCTTGTTGGCGAATGGGCCTTTCCAAGGCATGTCGCATGTCTCAGATTACAATCGAGCAGTTCGCTGCAACAAGGGCCGTTGACGCTTTTTAAACAGAGTCAGAATAAAGCGAAGTACCTTTTTTTGAGGCCAGCGATAGTGCATATAATAGTTGGACTTTTAGGCTTTATTTCTTTTATGCAAACCTAGGTACCCGGTCATACCACATTACTGCGAAATGATGCCACTGGGATAGTAAGAATTTACAGGGATTGTGACATCACCAGCCCCGATGTAGGAGCACATGTAGCTAGTTGCAGCCACCGTTCTGACGGTCAAAATCACCAAAAAAAAAATAGGTAGTCCTAAATTTGATAGACAGTTGTTTCTGCTGACAGATTCGATATTTTCCAGCTCGCAAGGGTTTTCAACAGGGCTAACATGTCGTGGTCGGCCGCCGGCCATGTCCAGTTAGCAGTTCCACCCTCACTACCCACACTCAAACAAGCTCTCTCTCTCGCCTCATCTTTATCTCCCACTTTCCTCGCACACTTTCCCTGGCAACCCCCCATCACCGATACTTTTGGCGCGCTGGCCACTCCCGCGATTGACTCGTGCGGTTTCCCGATTTCATCAGCGATTGTCAACTTTCGCTAGTAGCGCCGTCGTCAATGGCCTGCTATTCTCGCTAGTCAACTACCTGACTGGAAGCCGGCACGGGCTAAAAAAAAAGGTAGCACGAGGCGTCTGCTCCCCCGCAGTAGCCGAGCTCGGACGACGACGACGACTATTCCCATGCGAACTTGATCGCCAGGCACCGTTTCGGTTGCGTCGGCTTCGACACAAGCTCAGCCAATATTTCGTCTTCACCAGTCGCACTACCATTATCAGCCGACGCGCCGTCCCGCGAGGCTCCTTCGACGTTCTCCTAGCCCGCGTCGAAGCCCTCGGAGACGGTGTGCTACTATACTCTTGGATCGGGTCGCCGCCGCACACGCCTTGCGCGAGCTGCCGTCGTCGCCAACACATTGAGCCGCCGTCTACATCGTCTACGCCGTCACCTTTATTGACACTGGCATGTCTCACGACCAACACGCACACTCCCGGCCTCTCCCGAACGCAGAGCATGCGACATCGCCATACACCTCGGCACCGCCCAGTATGATCCGGCAGCATTCTGAGGAGCTCTCCGCTGTGCAGAGATGGGCAGCTAGAGCTTCCGAATCGCAGTTTAATGCAATTGCCGGTGCGCTTGGTGGTTTCACCTCGGGTGTGGTTACGTGCCCGCTCGACGTTATCAAGACCAAGCTCCAGGCCCAGGCCGCGGCCAAGGCCGGCCACTCGCGCCTCTACAATGGCCTGGTAGGCACAGCAAGCGTCATTTGGCGGGAAGAGGGTATTCGAGGCATGTATCGAGGTCTGGGGCCGATAGTCCTCGGCTATCTTCCGACTTGGGCAGTGTGGTTCACAGTATACAACAAATCCAAGGTCTACCTAGCCGACTATCATCGTAAGCTCGTTAGCTTCCATCGGCGTCAACAACATTCACTAATAGCAAAGCAGACAACGTCCATCTAGTAAACTTTTGGTCCTCGATCATCGCCGGGGCCAGCAGCACCATTGCAACAAATCCGATTTGGGTTATCAAGACCCGGCTCATGTCACAGAGCAACCCTAACGCCCACCGCAATGATCATCCGAGACCAGGCAACACGCCAACCGCGCGCCCAACTCTACAAACACCCTGGCATTACCGGTCAACGCTCGATGCTGCCCGCAAAATGTACAGCTCCGAAGGCCTGCTCTCCTTTTACTCGGGCCTGACACCTGCGCTCCTCGGCCTCACACACGTGGCGGTGCAGTTCCCAACATACGAGTATCTCAAGACGAAATTCACCGGGCAAGGAATGGGCGCGGCAGAAGCCCCTGGTGCAGAGGCGCACTGGACTGGCATTTTGTCCGCGTCGATATTGTCCAAGATTCTGGCCAGCAGCGCAACGTACCCTCACGAGGTGATTCGTACACGACTACAGACACAGCGGCGACCGGTAGCTGGCGAAACGTATCTGCAAGGCCTCGGTGTCACTGCACCAGGAACTCAAGGACTAGGAAATGCCAACTCGAGCTATACACCAAAGTATAGGGGGGTTGTCATGACCTTTCGCACCATTTTGCGAGAAGAAGGCTGGCGAGCATTCTATGCCGGCCTCGGAACAAACATGATGCGCGCAGTGCCCGCGGCAACGGTGACGATGCTCACCTACGAGTTTGTCATGCGCGAGCTGCGACACGCCCGAACGGTAGGCCGCGCTGGCTTGGGCTTGTCTGTAGAAGTCAGATGAGAAGAGGGATGCGGCGTTGGTTCAGGGATGCTGTCTACAAATAGTAGGCGCAGGGACGGAGAGAGGTGCGGCATAGACTTTTGTTGGCCGAGCGTAATACTCTGGTTTACGGGCGGACAGATGAGTTGACAGCACGGTACTGTACGACATAGACACCTTTTGTTATTTTTGAAATGCTGTTTCTGGTGGGTTCGCATGATGAGAGAGCACCCCAGGCCAATGCATCTTGACATTTATTACGGAACTGTTGAGTGGGCATGGTCTTTTATTCCAACTAGTATATTTGTTCTTTGCGTATGTCATTCTCGCCGAGGCCGGATGGTGTGTTGCTTGAAGGGCAAGGTAGAAGGGCTTCGTGTATATAAGTCGCGAAATGAAAATGGGATTTCTTTGATTTACATGCCCGGCGCACAATCACGGGGCTTAGTCCATTGGCGTATGATTCCCACCGCAGATGCGCACCAGCCAGTGTATCCATGCTTACTAGGTACGTGTCGTCGCCGACGACCCCTGAAGAAGATGCAAGCTACAACAACTCGACAAATGGCGACAAACAAATGCGCATGGCCGCAGTAGCAAACGTTGCTGGAGAGTCGAGCGCAGGGTGAGGCTCCGTCAGCAGGCCCGAGCTCTGCGACTCGGGACTTTTGCCAATAAACTGCCGTATATCTCCGCAGATTTGCTGTAAAGCGGGCTTCATGGGCTGCCAAGAGGAGATAGAATTCTAAATATTGGTTCGCAGTTGCCCATCGAACCAAGTGGCTCGTGTCAGCGCCACCAGGTTGTCGGGGTTCGATTGTTTGTTGCGCCCGCTCTCAGCAAGATGGCCAACTCCCATGGCTCGAACGTAGGGGGGGGGGGACACAAACCGGCGGTGAACGTGGCTGGGATTATTGATGCTACCGAAATATATCCTAGATACGCTTTTGTAGTTACATGATGACTTCCTATATTGCGACAAATGGCCGGCGTACTGACAGGTGGGCATCCTCAGGCTTCAGCCCAGTTCGCCGGTGGCACTTTCTTCGAGACGGAGACACTTATATAAAGGGCCTCGCCCGCCCGTGTAAAACAAAGTACACTTCATCCTTATCCTTGTCAACAATTCTCAAGCCTAAAATTACAAAACTCGAATCGCAACAATGAAGTTCATTCTCGCCGTCCTCGCCATCGCCGCCGCCGCTTCTGCTTCCCCGACTGGAACTCCTCCCGTGGACAACCCCGTGATAACTCTTTTTCCCGTGGACGACCCCGTGACGACTCTTGAATCGTCCGTTGCCACCCACGTTCCCACTCCGACCCCCAAGCACGATTCTTGCACTCGTGTTTGCGCCCCCCAGTACGACCCGATCAGGTGCTCCAACGGCGTCACCTACAACAACACCTGCGAGTTCGAAGTACGTTTCCTATCCGTTGAAAGACTGCCTTGGGCTGAGAAACGCGGCTAACATGACTTGACTATAGAATGCAAAGGTATGATGATGATGCTGGTCTAGACTAACTCAACATAGCACAGTTTGCTAACTGCGATACAGCACGTACGTATTATGGCAAATCTACCGTGGTGGTTGGATACTAACATGAATCGCAGTGCCGTCCCTGGGACTTTGGTAATGTAATCTGCACGGATGCTTAAGGATTCGGACGGCTTCATAGTGGCCGGCCAACGGCATCTGCCTTGCCGTAAGTGCAGTCCAGTCCAGCTCAGTTAGTGCAGTCGAGATGATGAGTACTGACAATTCGTCTAGAAGTATAATCAGATGGACCACGAGGCGCGGGGTAACCCACGGACAAGTGAGTCATTCTATTGCGACAAGGTCGAGAAGTAGGTGCTGGAATATGGAGACGGGGGAAATAGTCAATGTGAATGATGCATCTTGCCAAAAAAAAACCAAGTCACTATTATTCCAGTATTGATACAAGTGGTAAAAGAGAACGCTAGACATGCTCGTTTACCATGACATCCGTCCTATCTCAACGTTATTCAACGACAGTTCCTGCTGACTCGTAACTTTGCTCCTGTCCATAAAAATATATTCCGTGTCCCTGTCCATCACAGTATATCCGCGTGTCCATGTCCATCAAAGCACATGCGCGCGCCCCTGCGCATCCAGAACCGCATCCGAGACAAAGAACCTGTTGCCAAGAACAGTCTATTCCTTGAGGTCCTCGACGAGGGCCTTGACGCGATCGACGGTGCCCTGAGGACTGCCCGCTTCAGCGACGAGGACTTTACCCTCCTTGTCAATGACGAAGACGCCGCGCTGGGTGCCCTTGGGGCTCTTCTTGAGGCCAATGGCGGCAATCAAGGTGTAGTCCGGGTCGCACAGCAGCGGGTATGGCAGCTTCTGGTTGGTCTGAAACGTGGTGTTGGCCTTGGGCGAGTCGGCGCTGAGGCCGTAGATGGCGAGGCCGTCCGCCGTGAGGGGCTTGTACGCGTCACGGAAGAAGCACACCTGTTTCGTGCCTGTGCAACGTCAGGTCAGTATTGCATTTGCGCGAGGAGAAATGCGCGCGCGCGCGAGGTAGCTATTTCGTCTTGGGGGGGCGGGAGCGCGCGTTTTCCGCGTTGGGCAAACTTACAGCCGGGTGTTGACGCCTTGGGATAGGTAAACAGGACCACGCCCGACTTGCTCTCGTCGAGGAGCTTCTTCAGCGTCGTCTCCTTGCCGTCATTGGTCTTGATCTCGCCGCCGAAAGCGTCGAGATGGACAACAACGTCGCCGACCGCCACCGGCTTGGAGCTCTTGGCCGGCGCGGCAGCGGGCTCTGTCTTGTCGGCTTCGGCCTCTTCTTCAACAGCAGCAGGCGCCGCCTGCTTCTTGGGCGCGGCGGCGGCGGCGGCGGCCTTCTTGGGGGCGGCGGCGGCCTTTTTGGGAGCAGCAGCCTTCTTGGGAGCAGCAGCAGCAGCCTTCTTGGGGGCAGGAGGAGGAGCGGGCGCGGGCTCGGGCGCCTTGCGCTTGCGCAGCGTGGGAGGCATTGCGAACAAGAGGTGTCTGTGTGTGTGTGTTTGTTTTGCGCGAGATTTAATTAATGCGCGATGGGGGGGGGAGAGAGGTTCGCCAATGTCGCGTACACAACACGTTGGATCGCAAAGAGTACGGGGAGGAAAGAGAGCAGAGCTTTTGCGCGCGGCGGCCGGTGACAGGGAGGAAGCTGAAGGAGAAAGAGAAGAGGACGGAGAGAGAGAGAGAGAGAGAGAGGGCGGACGTGCGAGCTTAAACTTGGGGCGGCGGCGGCGCGGGAGAGCTACTCAGACTCCAGCGCGCTCGCTGGTGGTGGTGTGGGATGCGCGGCAGATTGCGCCAGCCGAAACCCCCAACCCAGCGGTATAGG